TGCTTTTCAACTTCTTGGAAGTTGAAACTCATTTACTCTCACCGTTCCAACTACCCACTTAATGGAACCCGTGAACCTCCTCCTCCCCTATTTAAATCAAGATATCTCAATCCATTTCCTTCACAAACAACTCCCTCAATATGAAAAGTCCTCAAACTCACTGTCTAAGGAACACACCAAGAAAAATACCCTCAATGAAGAAATTTTTCTTTCTCACCCTCATAGACGGCAATGGAAGAAGCCTATTGAGAAGAAAAGACTTTTAAGGTCTATGGTGAGAATCTCGGCAGTAGAGAAGGTCTATGGTGGAAATCTCGTATTTTTCAGTATTAGACCATACACCTTCTCTGGAACAACACTCTCTTTCTATCTTTCTTCTTATTTTGAGAGATGTGTTGCTTCCAAGATCTTAAATATCCACTTTGGATATTAAAGATCTATCAAACGCAACGCCAACCGCTCTGCCAAGCAGAATCTGCTGAAGCTGAAAACGGTCAATGGCGGAAGATATCACAAAATCTCAAGACAAGACTTGGTTTAGGAATTATTCTAATTTGAATTGTATTTGTTTAAGAGTTTTTGTTAACAAGCTGTATATTATGAGAAACTAAAAGAAAGTTATAAAATTAGTTCTCAGTACAGCGACCGGAACTCTTAAAACACTTGTTTGTCATCATCAAAAAGGGGGAAATTGTTGGGAAAAATATTATAGATTTTGATGATGATGTATTTAGAATGTATTAGGGACCTTAAGCCTCCCCCAATATTCAATGTAATTTTTCTTTTTAGAAATATTGTCAAAACCGAGCTCTTGAGATTTCCAATAAAACTGTGATATCTCTTTAAGCGTTTTGATGCCTGAAGACTTAAGCAAATTCAGTGATATGAAAAATTGGATATCTTGATCGGAAGTATCAGAAACAAGTAAGGATTTCTCAATCAGATGAAAATTCTCAGATCCGGAAGACTACATAAGAACCGGATGTCCCGCTACAACCCGCTGAAGGCTAATCGGAAGACTAGCGCGGATCTCTTTCTCATCCGGAAGTCTGAAAATGGCTCATCCGGATTTGTCAGCTAAGAATCGGAAGACTCACTGAAGACCGGAAGTCTCAGAAAGTGGACAAGTGAGAAAAGACTTAGAAAATTTATCTAAGTCCTGAATGAAGAAAACTCTAACCGTTGGCAAGGAAAAATCAATCTCTTGGTTTTCAACGGCTAGATTGAAGATAATTATGCTGATTCAAGAACAAATTGCTCGAAGACAAAGTTTGGGCATCTAAAATTAAAGAGCCTGCCCAGAATTCCTAAACAAGCACTAGAAGACAAACAGAGTAAAGTGCTACAGTCTTGAATTCTTGAACAAAAGCTAGAAGACGGATTTTGCGGAAAAAGGAATCCTTTCTCAACATTTGGGTACGTCCAAATGCCCACGTCAACAGAGAATCTTCAAATCACAATCTTCATTCAAAATTGAAGCGAGCAAATGCAACGGATAGTCTATTATGATTCAACGGATAGATTATCCAATCCAGTTATAAATAGCTTCCTTGGAAGACTGGAGAGTACATGATGAGATACGCTGATGCAACAACACAACGAAGCAATCACTAAAGCTATCTCATTCACAGTTAGCCCAAAAAGCTTGATAAAGAGAGATTCCTAAACTCCTTATCCAGAAGCAAACTTCTTATCCTTCCAAAAAGCTATAGTGTAAACACTTGAAGGTTTCCTTGCCTCAAGCACCACACCACGTTGAAGGATATTACTTTTGATCAAACTTATTGATTAAAAAGGGGATAGGTCAACTCTCTTACAAGTTGATCTTGCAAGTCCTATTGTTCGGATCTTGCAGTTGTTGAAGAAGCTTGACCTTCGAAGGAACAACAAAGCCAGCACGAGTGCAGTAGCAACATTGGTCTTGTGGAGATATACCGTGCAGAAATTCACACAAGTGTAATTGTTGGT